AGAGACAGTTCTTTAGAGAGGGACATCATGCTGGGCAGAATGGAGGGACAGTGCAGGAGGGGAAGACCCTCTATGAGGTGGATTGATTCAGGGACTGGGGTAATCGGGATGGGTGTGTCAGAGGCAATGAGATTGGCACAGGATAGAGCACGGTTTAGGGCTGTGTACATACGGTCGCTATGAGTCGCAAACGACTCGACGGCAGGATAGAATTCCTATATCATAAAATTCAGCTTTATAAATTGGTCAGTGCACTCACCATTTTAACAGTCCTATATTCTTTCTTTCTGTGACTCATAATATACTTTGTTTTATCAGCCTTAGAAGTGAAATGTCTTATACCAAATTCTGGCAGCTGTCTTACTCAGACTATGGTTAAGTGCACCTTAAGTGAAATACTTTTAACTATTTAAATGAATATTATATACCAAATCATGTATTGTGTTTTGTTTTGACAGATTCGAAAAGAAGGGAGAGGTAAATACAGTCCGGAGCAGCTGTGTGTTCTTGACAATGTCAAAATTAATCTGAAAAGGTTTATCACTTACCAAGAAACTGTTGAGAAGAGATTGACTTCTTGAACCATCAAAGTAACGGCCAGTTCTTGTCCTTAAGCATGCAATGCTAAGAATACCAAAAGATCTCCTTTGACTAATTTCTGAAAGTACCAGGGTTGGGATGTAACTTTCTAATAAATCTATCTTTACTTTTTACCTTAAAAAAAGAAGAAAGTCTAGGCAAGAAAGTTTTATTTTAAGCACTAGCAACTTTGTGGCATTTCTAGTGCTCTAATGAATTAATTATATTTCCAGCATATTTTAATCACTAGAAACACGAGGACTAGAAGTGAGGAAACAAAAAGGAATCTCAGATGGCCATGTAATTTGTGAGCAGTAAAGTTTTCAAACAGTCCTGTTTTCTTTGAATTTTGCCAAAGGGAAAGAAAACCTCAAACATCTGAAGCATTACTTGGAAGTTTTTTTATATAAGCTGAATTCTTAAAACTGAAAGATAAAGCCAAGCTTTATGAAACAACTGTTTGCCATGAAATTTGGCTGTTATGGTTACCTTTTGTGAAGACATGAATGAGTTGAATTTGTATTTCACTGTTTAGGAAATTACAGTAATGAGATAATTGTCACCTTTTAGACAAGATTTGTTTGATTTAATATGGAATAAGAATTGAGAGAGAATATTTTTCAATAAATAACTTTTTAATTGAAAAGATCTTAGAAAATCTTCTTTAAGACTTATGATGTTCCCTTTCTTGACTGAGTGCTTGCCGTTGGGTATTGCTTTCAGTATGTGTGAGACCTTAAAAAGACATTACAAGGACTAAGTATCCTTGCAGCGATGAGATAGCAGCTAGGATAAGGGGAGGGAGTTTCAGTGTAAACCATTGTGTGAAAGCGGCAGAATGACTCTCTCTTTCATCCATCTGTTTGCCTGAGCAGAAGAACTGAGGATGGAGATGTAAAGATTTCTTTACAGATTATCTCAATAGTCTTTTAAAAGACTAGTACCAGATAGGCGTTAACTGTCACTCTTCAAAAAATTAATTTCAATGCAGTATTTGACAGGAATATTAAAAATCCTATTGTTTTTCATTCAGTTATTTTGTTTGTTTATTGTAAAAAAAAACATTTATGGGTATCTAGGGGCTAAGGGTTGGTAGCAGAAGAGTGAGGACGGGCAGGGATGAATTCACAGTTTGGTGGCTGGGGGGAGTAGGCAAAGGAAATGAGAAAGATCCAGTGGGGACCAGAAAAGACAGAGTTGTGGTGAGCTTAGTTCAATGGTGATTAGGGTTTTTTTAACAAAGAAATTGTCTTTTTCATTTGTGGATTTCTCATTTGGAAATGGGGCACAGACTCTGACAGCTTCGTGCTGAATAGGGGTTCATTAAATTTTGAATAAACAGTTTGTTTTAGAACATTATCATTACAACTGGTCAGTCACTGATCAACTCCTTATTGTACATTGCTTTTTCCTGCACCTCCAATTATTTTCTTCGTTTTACTCCCATCTCCATCCCTGTTAACCTTCCATGATTGATTCTGATAGTGTGTAAAGTTTTCTTTAACCTTTTTGTATTGTTCTTGCAACACAATTATCCTTTTGTGACTGATTTCTGTCATTGGCATACATTCCTCTAGATTCAGCCATTTGTGTAATATTTCATTAATTCGATCTTGAACCATCAAAAGAAGATAGAAGGAATGCACAGAATCACTGTACCCTCCCCCCAAAAAAATAGTTGACACTGAAAAATTTCAGTAAGTACCGTATGAACAATAGCCAGTGGTGATGAAGGATGAAGTTCACTGACTACAGTGAAGGCATTGGCAAAAAAAGTAAGGCCCCAGGAATCGAGGAAACACCAATTGACATGTTTCAGCTCACAGATGCAGCTCTGGCTGTGCTCCCCGGTTTATGCCGGGAAATTTGGAGGCACACGGACTGGAAGAAGTCCATATCCAACAGAATGTGGACATTATCGAACAATATTATTACTGTCTCATGAAAGCAAAATACTTTTGAATATCATTCAAAACCAGCTAGAAAAGTACATTGACAAGGAGCTACCAGAAGTTCAAGCTGGCTTTAGAAGAGGCCGTGGCACCAGGGATATCAGTGCTGATGTCAGATGGACCCTGGCTGAAAGCAAAGAATACCAAAAGAATATCTTTGTATTTTAATGACTATGCAAAGGCATTTGACTGTGTTGAGCTATAACAAATTACGGCTAACATTGAGAAGAATTGGAATCCCAGAACACTTAATTGTGCTAATATAAATCTATACCCTGTTTCGTGAACAGAAAAAGGGAACACTGCATGGTTTAAAATCAGGAAGGGTGTATGTCAGTTATCCTTTTTCCATACCTGTTCAGTCTATATGTTGAGCAAATAATTCATGAAGTGGAAGTGGCATCAGGATTGAAGGAAGACTCATCAAAAACCTGCGACATGTAGATGACACAGATGTTCTTGTTGAAAGTGAGGAGGATATGATATGCTTGGCTGCAGAAGTTCAAGGATTACATCATCAAGAAAACAAAGGTCCTCACCATAAGACCAACAGTCATCATTATGGCAGATGAAGAAAAGATTAAAGCTGCCAGTGACTTAATCTTCCTTAGATCAACAGTCAGCACCTTTGGTACCAGCAATCAGGAAATCAGGAGACGTATCGCATTGGGCCAGTCTTCTGTCAGGGACTTCTTCAAAATGCTGAAGAGCAATGATGTCAGTTTTAAGACTATGGTGCACCTTGTTGTAGAATGGGACTGTCCTTGGGGTTGGGGAGAGACTGAGTAAGATGGGTTCAATAATGTATACTGCACTGAAACAGAGGAG